ATATCTCCCAAGATTATGTCTTACTAAGATGATATTTAAATGCTTCGTTTTATGATCAAAGCACTAAGGTTTTGATTGTGGGGGGACTTATAATGCAATGCAGTAAAATGATGATTGAGACTAATAAACATTTCTCAAAACCTGATGTATCATATTTTATACTCACCTTTTAACATGATTTTCCTAAAAAAAAAAATTTAAAAGCCTCAGTCCAGTAATTGTTCATCTTGAAATATTACTAAAAATAACAATACAATAAGTTATTCTTACACTAACGTTATTAAAATCAATAAAGATTTCACTGCAATAAATACATAAATAATAGATTTGTACTAAAAGGCCTACTTGTTAAAAAGAATAAACTATCAATCAGATGACAGAAGGCATGTAGTAGATTGTGTGCAACAGTTTTTCCAGCAAAGTGTTGATTATGCCCTAATTTAGAGATAATTTAGAAATGTCCGTATCAAATATGATACAGTAGGCTTTATAGGGTTAAGATGTAATACATTTTATGAGAAACAGATATAGAGATAGATACCTCATAATAAAACCTACTGTAATAATTAAACTTTTACATATACAGTCCAGTACATATGATTTAACGAGTTGTGTTTATTTTGCCAGGCTAAGGCTACCACCATGGCTGAAAACAGAGATCCCTATAGGAAAGAACTACAACAAACTGAAGAACACACTTCGAGAGCTGAACCTTAACACAGTGAGTGTTTGAAAACATGCCTTACATATCAACTGCTTCACACAGTCTCCTGACACAATGGTTACAATGGACACAGTTCTCTAATACAATGAACGTGGATGAGGACCAGGGGCAGTCAAGCTCCAAAACCGAAAATCAGCCATAAAGCATCATAAAAATAGTCCATAGGACTTGAGCACTACGTACTCCACTGTTTGGGGTCAGCAAGAATTTATATATATACAGTATATATACAATATATATAAATACAGTATCTCACAGAAGTGAGTTCACTCCTCACATTTTTGTACATATTATATTATATCTTTTCATGTGACAACACTGAAGAAATGACA